CCAGACACAGTTAATGCAAAGGGGGATCTGGGACGGGATCCGGGGTCTCGACTCCCTCCTCTTCACTGTGAAAGGTCACTATTTGGACGATTGGTGAAATTTGAACAGATTCATAGGTTAGCGTGGTCATTGGATGGCATCAATGTAAAATTTGCTGATTTTGACAACTGTACTTTGGTTATGCAAGTGTATGTCCTTGTTCTAAGGAAATACACACTGAGATATGTATGCATCAAGGATGTACTATCTGTAATCTGCTTTCGAAAGGCTCAGATTACACATATGTATATGTGTGGATACACATGTACGCAGACACATACAGAGCGAGCACATGTTGCATATGTGCATGAATGTGGCAAAATGTTAACTGTCGTAATTAGCGAATTTGGGTGAAGGGTATATGGTAATTCTTGGTACTCTTCTTGCAACTTTTGTGTACTTATGAAATTATTTCAAAGTAAAGTTTTATTTAAAAACAAAACTCGGGAAAAAGAGTGAGAGTGCCTAAGTGGCGGGCCTCACAGAGCTGTGGGTGGTATTCTGAGGACAGGGGCCTCCCTGGAGGCCCACCCCCACCCCCACACACTGGCCCCAGGAGGCTAGCCTGTCTTTCCCTGCTTTGTTCCCTTGGCCCCTCACTCCCCCTTCCTGGGCTTTAGTTTCTTATTTATGAGATGGGCGTAATTTTGCTTCTTTTATTGTGATCTTGATTTCCCAGAAGCAGACTAAGCCTCTTCCAGAAGTCCTGGGAGGTGTGTGTGTGACAGTAGCTAGACCAGAAATAAAAGTTGAGGAGCCCTCAATTTCTTAGTTCAATGCAACTGACAGCAGGGCTATGAGTGTTTTTTGGATGAAATCTCCCGTTAGCATAACTTAGGGCCAAGGGAGTGGGCCCCCTGGCATCTCAGCTGTTCTGAGACACAGTTGGGGTCTTCTCCTGTCCAAGGGGGCAGCCAGCACCCATGCACCTTGTGGCCAGCATCCTTCTAGGAGAGCCTCGTGTCAAGGACAAGTAGGCCAGGAGGTGCACCTGTCTCCCCGTGCCACCATGGCCTGCCTCTCACCTGGGCCACAGTCAAACCTTTGTCCTAGTTTCCCTCATCTGCTCTCACCCCTGCCTAGAGCTCCACCCCCTGCCTGTAGGATCTCCCATGACCTGAATCTTGTGCCTATGGCCCTGTAGGTGGTTTGTATTTCTAAGCAGGGCAGTGAGATGCCAGGATGTTCTGATGGCAGTGGTACAGAGGGACCAGGGCAGGAGACCAGGAGGAGCAGCTGCGGCACCCAGTCAGGAGGCTGAAAGCCTGGGGACCCTGCAGTAAGTAGACTGAGGGGTCTGGGCCCCTTAGCTCTGCTAGCAACACTGTCCTGGCTGTGCACCTCTGACAGAGAGGCGCCTCTCTCACAGCCCACTCTTTGTGCCAAGAGAAGGCTGACAGACACCAGTGCTTCATCAGGAACAGAGACAAATCAGTCCAGCTGAGCCGCTCCACATCAGAACTGCATGAGGACTCTCTCTAGCTCGCAGGCCAGCTGTGGTGGCCTTTTCTCCTGGGAGTCAGAGAGCTCTTGATCCTCCACTCCCTGCTCTTGGGTAATGACGGAGACTCTAGAAAAACCCCAGAGCCAGCTCTCCAGGCCTCCATATCTGGTGGCCTTTGGAGAACACACAGCAGTGGGGAATGTCCTCTGAGAGTCCCGGGCTAGGAAGGCAGAGTGGGAAGTCTGTCCCAGTAGTCCAGACCTGGACCTACCCAGCACCCAGGCAGCCCATCCTGTTCTGCTCATTGGGGGATATAAATATCCCTGCATGAGTGAATGTGCAGGTTTACACTTTCTCAAGGCCCGAGTGTACCCTTTCTGTTCTATCTGATGGTTAACGATAATAGCAGGTAATATGAACGTATCACTTACTGCGCACGGAGAGGTCTAAGAGCTTTATATATGCCTCATCTAATCCTCACAATGAGGTAGATTTCTGTCCCTACTTTAAAGGGGAAGCCTATGTGCAGAGAGATACGTAGCATGCCGGAGCTCACAGCTAGGATTAGGTTATCTGAACCTAGGGTCCTTGCTTCTAATCATGACCCTAATGTAGGTGCTCAACAAATGTTTGAGTGACTGCATTACGTGGGCACCTACCTAAGAGAAAAAGAGAGCAAGCAGAGTGAGCGCACTTTTTTATCTTGGGGTCCATCACGCCCCACGGCCTTAGTCGGTGTTTCCATATGGCTTGTGTGTAATGTGAGAATGTGTCCACACGGGAACAAGTGAGAGAGTAAGGCCCAGCTACCAGTGTTCCTGTGCTCACAGAAAGGGGCCCGGAGACGAGGTACAGATCTTTCCCAAAGGCTTTTCCTGCTGCTAGCCACCTGCCCCCCACCCTGAGTGTGAGCTTCCCCAGTTCCTGGGGCAAGTTCTGCCTCGACTTGCCTTTGGGAATAGGGAAGAAGCAATGTTGTCCGTGGCTTCACTTCTCCAGGCTTGAGTACTTCCCACAGCCTCAGGCTCCCTACCTCCCTGGGTCAGGTCCTGCCACTCTGAAAGCTTTGCAAAGGTGACCCCACGACACGCTTGGTGGTGTTTCTGCCCTAACAGGGTTTGCTGCAAAGTTTGTCAAAGCATCTAGAACTCAGTTTTGGTTTAGTGTATGCCAATGTTTTCATTTGGAAGGGGACGTGTTTCTGTTGATGTGAAGGGTAACATAAGACATTCTTCACCAAGTTACACTGTCTAAAGTCAAGGTGTGGACAGGGAGGTGTCTTGGGATCCCCAGGGCCTAGCATGGGGCCTGGCAGAGGAGCAGCCAGGGCCAGCTGTTGAATGAATGAATGAGCAAGTATCCAAAGGACCTAGAACCAGGTGTGGTGTATGGCCAATACTCAGTATGGGTTTTGAATAGATTCCACAGATTCCACCTTCAAGAGGAGTTCTCAGTCTGCTCACGTCTCTCCACCTTTACTCACCTTGCCTCATCTGAGGCAGCTTCCCTGCTTCCACACTCGCCCCTACAAACCTTTCTGCCACAGCCAACAAAGTCATCTTGGCGATATGTGAACTGGAACTGCGTCCACTCCTGCCTAAAACCTTCTGATGGCTTCCCACTGCTCACAGCCGTGGCTTTCCAGGTCCTCCACAGCCTCCCCCACCCCCGCCCCACCAGCCTCACTGACCTCTCCTGGGGCCACTCTCCAGCCAGGCAGCCTCCTGCTGGTTGCTGGAAGATCCAACTCTCCCACCCTGCGCCCTTGGAACTAGTCCCCTGTGCCTGGATTGGTTTCCCCCAGATCTTCATATCTGGCTCCTTCTACTAATTCAGGGCTCAGCTCAAATGTGTCATCTCTTTAGAGAGGCTTTCTCTGGCCCCACACTCCTTTTCTAAAGCAGCCCATCTCTATTTTTCTGCTCTACTCACTGGACATTTATTGAGTGCCTACTAGATGCCAGGTGCTGTTCTAAGTGCTGAGGAACCAGCAGTGAACACAATAGGGGATGGCCATGTCCTTCTTACATGTCTTCATAGCTGTCAAAAAAATCTGATTATCTTGTTTGGGAACCTGCTGATCTTTTTCACTAAGTGTCAGGAGGGCAGGAGCTGAGTCTATCCTGTTCACTGTGCTCACCCACTGGGGTACAGTTAAGTACTCAGTAAACATTTGTTTAATCAAAGAAAATGAATGGATGGATTGATGGATGGATGGATGGCAGGCAGGCAGGCAGGCAGACTGGGTTGGTCTTCAGAGCAGCTGACACACACTTAGCTCTTGTTAAGACCTCACTGAACTCAAATGAAGCTTTTATCAAAAATAAATCTTACTATCAACCCCTGACCCTAGCCCCCCACACTACTGCCAGAAGGTCCTGCCTGACTCTGCATCGCTCTCTGGCAACGGTCATCTTGGCAAAGCCAGGCAATGGTGGAAAGGGGTTAAGTCAGCCTATTGGAGTGAGTGGCATTAGTGTACCTTTTCCCAAAGGAGCCCTTGTCCACCACCTCAGTGTCCCCATTCATTGCTGCCCAGGCCATGTGCCTGGTGATACTGCAGCACTGTGTGGCTGAGGGGCTCAGCCAAGGAGTTCCTGATGCCCCGAGAACCGTTACCAGACCCAACAGCCTGCCTGTCTCGCTCCCATCTTGTGTACTGCCTCTCTTCCTGGCTGTGTGACTTTGGCTAAGTCTTCCGCCTTCCTGGACCTTCATTTCCCTCCAAACCACACACAAAGTGGGGCCAGGCACACAGCTGGCTGCAGCCCAGAGGCAATCAGGGCTTTAACTCTTCAGTGCAATGACCCTGTGGTCCTTTCTCCTGCTGGCCCATGAGTCCCTTGAGGCCTTGCAAACAGTGCAGGCAAAGCCAGACCCAGCTTGTCAGGCCTGTGAATGCAGCCCCTGCAGATTCAAATGACAACCTGGGGCACCCTGAAACCTGACTCCCAAACCGCAGCAAACCCAAGGCCAAAAGGAAGTATGGGGTTCTCTGCTCAAGGTCTCTCCCTTTCTCCTAGCAGCAGCTAGGAGCTCTTACTCTCAAGTCTCCACCTGGTCCCCCCATGGGCCAGAGGACAAAGGTTGTCAGTGCCTGGCTCCCTACCTCTTCTGACACTCCTACCCTTTCAGGGCTAGTGAGCACCCACAAAAAGCCAAGGTCATTACTAAGCCAGGCTGCGGATCAGGGAGTTGCTGACAGCCTCAAATGGGTTTGGGTGTAAAGACTTTTCTACAAGCTGTGGCAGTAAGGTACCATGGCTAACCAAAACGCCACTTAGGCCCTGCGTCCCTTCCTCTCTTCAATAGCTGTCACCTTCCCTAGGGAAATATTCCAGTCCTAAATAAAGGCCTAAGAGGGGCGTCTGGCCATTCCTGGCATTCAAATAGACTTGGAGGTGGATGGAAGGGAATCATAAGCCTGGGGAAGGTGTGTGTGTCCGGTCTGCCGATACCACCCGCTTCCTCACTAGCGCCCCAACCCACCTTTATCCCGCATAGAGAGGACACTTACAGGCCTTGGAGGCCAGAGAAGGCCTCGTCCCGAGGGACCCATCCCTGGCCAGACGGTGCCCCCAACCAGCAGCGGCGGCATGATTTGGGCGGCTGTTCCGGGCCAAAGGTTGCAGGTCGTTGGGGAGTGGTGGGACGGCAGCCAAGACTACTCCAAGTAACCATCAAAGACGTCGAGCTCCGAGTCGGCATCATAGAGGCCGGAGCCAGGGTCGGAGAGCACGCCGAGGTCCACGAGCGCCTGGTCCATGTCCTCGGGCAGGAAGACGAGGCCCACGTTGAGGACGATGTACTCCATGAGAAAGGCGTAGTATAGGATCAGCACATTGACGAAGAACAGGCCCACGTAGAACATAGAGGGCAGCAGCGGCGGCGGCACGGAGGGAACCAGGGGGCCCAGTACGTCCAGGTGGGCCGCGACCCGGGCGCCGGGCATGCAGGGGGCGGGGAGGGCGGCGGCCCGGCGATCCCAGCGAGCTCAGCCGCTGCGGCGTCCGGGCGGCCGGCGAGGGGGCAGTTCAGCCATCCAGGGGCGCCCCGGGGCTTCACCGAGGCGGCGCAGGGCCCCAGCAGTGCCCCACGTGGATGTACGGCGGCCCCGGAGGACGCGGCCCGGCCCCCGAAATGCGCCTGGCGGGGTCACCAAAGCCCCAGATGTGCCCACAAGGCCCTCTCGATCCGCCTAGCGGTCCCCGCGAAGTGGCTGGAGGCTGCCCGGCTCCTTCGGTGCGCCCCACTCGCGCTCACAGGCCCTTACAGAGCCGGCGGGGACCCCGCCGCGGTTCAGTGTCGAGGGCCAGTCCCTGCGGCGGTCTCTCCAGCCCGGCCCGGCTGTTCCTCGACTCCCCTCCGCGATCCCGCAGGCCCAGCGCCCATCACTGCGGCGGCCGCGTAGCACTCCAGGACGCGTTCCGAGCACAGGCTCCGGCGCGGCCTCGCACTCATTGGCTCGTCGCTCTTTGCCCGCGCTCATTGGCCCGCTCAACACCTGAGCTCATTGGCCCGAGCTGTCCGGGGGCGGGCACCGCTTCGCTCCGCCCCCCAGGGCGCTGGCCTCTGAGTTGTCTTCCTGTTTCCGGACTCCGCCCCGATCCAATTGGCTCTGCGAAGCCCCAGCGGAATAGGGGGAGGAGGGGGGGGTGGGGAAAGCGAACAAACTTCCAACCCCGACGTATCCCTAGGGTACGGAAGCTGAAGGGAACGGCTGGCTAGCTGCTTCTGCACCCTGCTGGACTTGGGTATGGTGCCACGCCTCTTTGGGACTCAGTTTACCTGTTGAAAAGGGAGACAGGCGGGCGGTGGATTTTCCAGTGAAAATCTTGGACTTCCCCAAAGTGGCACTTTTCCATCGTGGGGAAGATCAATTAGTGCCCCTCATGTCTCCAAATTCTGGTTGCTGGAAGGTCGGCCCATTGCGGGGCTCTTGGATAATACCGTTCAGGGACACCTGAGTAGAGATTCCCAGGCAGGTCAGAGCTGCAGCAGTAGAGTTGCTTCATATTTTTTCTTTGTAAACTATGTTTAAAAACAATCATAATGCACGTGGTTAACCATTCAAACAACTAAGAAGTTCACGAAAGAAAAGTTTGTCTTCACTGGCTGATTCCCCTCCTCAGGCGCAACCCTTCAGGAGCCTGGTCTTGTCCAAAGAGCTTTCCAGAACAGTCAACAGATCTTTAAATATCAGGCCACACTCTGGTGGGTGCTTTACTTGCATCGCGTAATTGAAGCTGAAGGGGTATTTTACCCCTTTTTGCAGATGAGAAATCCAGGCGCAGAGACAGAGGCTGGAAGCTGCTTGGACCTGCATGTGTTTGGAGGCCAGAACCTGCCCCTTTTCCTGCATGACTGTCTCTTGCCCCTTTTGATGAATTACAGAGCAAACCATTAACCTTCCTGCTGCTGAAGGTGAAACAAACCTTGATTCATTCATTCACACTGCTAATACTTGATGAGCATCTATTATGTGCCAAACCTTGTGCTAAGCATTGGGGAGGACATTGGCCCTTAGGACAGTTCCGTCCTGAGCACAGTCCATGGGAGACAGTAGGCCTTAGATAACAGGTGTAGAAATGACTCACTGAGTGAATGAATGGTGAGCAGGGCAGTCTTGCCTCCACGGTGCTTTCCACTCCTCACCTAGGAGAGAAGTTTGTATATACCTTGGCTCATGTAGGAAGTTGGGTGTTTCCTTATATTTTTAATGTGGTAGTTTTAGAAATGGCTTGGATTTTGGGTGACGACCAGTGAAATCCTCTGGAAGTGCAGGAAGTTCAGTTTGGGTACATTGTTGCTTGAAGGCCTTTCAGTATTTATTTTTTAATTAAAGTGGTAAAAGAAAAAGGCTGTGAGGACAAACAAGCCGTTACCGATTTGGTGCAGTTTATTTTATTGGTGGATAAAAATAAAGGTGCCCGAGTTTGACCCTGATTCTGCCTCTTACTAAATACAAGACCTTGAACAAGTCAACTCCTCTGATTTAGTTTCCCCGTGGGTAAAATGGAGATAATAATATTACCCACCTCATAGGGTGGTTGTTAGACTTAAATGACAATATATGTGAAACGCTTAGGGCAGTGGCAATAGTATATGCCATACAGTAGCTATTCTTATTTTTATCATAAAGCTGATAATTGTTACTCTTGTGGTTACTTTTATTCACTCCTCATCGCAGAGTGCGCTTGGCGCGTAGGTTCCCTAATCCCGCCCACCTGGGTGGTGAGCGCTCCGCGCCAGACTCTCTGCCCCTAGCTCCGCGGGACTCTCCGCCTCTTCTCCGAGGCCGCAGGTGCAGCTGCGTGGTGCACGCCGGTCCTTGTAGTTCGTTCTCAGAGTCCTGTCGGTGGGGGCCTCGCGGGCGAACTGCATTTCCCAGTGTTCCTCGTGGCAGCGGCCGTAAAGCGCGGCTGTAGAACGGCCGGTTCCGGCTGAATGTCAGGGCGAGACTGTGGGCCAGGAAGGAAGGTGGTTGGCCGTCTCTTCAGCACCCCCGCCGCTCCCTCCTCGGCTTGTGCTGCCTCCGCGGGCTCTCGGGCATGAGACCGTGAGGCGAGCGACGGGCCGGGGCCGCCGACATGTTTGGCCGCTCGCGGAGCTGGGTGGGCGGGGGCCATGGCAAGTCTTCCCGCAATATTCACTCCTTGGACCACCTCAAGTGAGTGTCTTGGGGGCTGATGGGGAGGCCGCGGGGCCCGATAAGGGGTTGGGGGCGCGTATCCGCGGGTCGGGTGAGCTGGGAGGTGTGAGAGTGGAGGTGGAGGGCTGGGAGAAGAGGCTCCGGGGAAAGGCTGTGTGGTGGTTAAGAGTGAGGGCTCTGGAGTCAGGGCGCCTGGTTCGAACCCTGACCCCATCAGTCCTCACTGTGTGACCTTGGGTAAGTCACTTAGCTTCTCAGAATCTCAGTGTAAAGTAAAGAGGTGAGATTTCAGTTTATGGATGCAGATTTCGTTCTTGTAGGGAGCGGACAGTGGGTACCAAGCTTCTCGGGGGACTTCTTAGGCTGGACAGCGCAGACTATTTTCTTGGGGGAGTCTAAGAAAAGTCTATCAGAAGTAGAGCTCTGGGGAGGACGAGTAGCAAACGTGGTCCTGGGAAGCAGGTGTGCACAGAGTGGCTTTGCAGTCAGACTTGCTTTCAAGTCCTGATTCCACCACTTAACGGCTGTGTGACTTGGACAAATTACTTCATCTCTCTGAGCCTCTGGTTCCCCTTCTGTAAATGGGGATGGTGAACATTGTGCAAGGCTTCAGTAATATCATGCATGGAAAAAGACTGCTCCAGTGTTTGTTACACAGGAAGTGGCCAATAGTGGTAACGGTGTTTATCAGTTAGGCAAGGCCTTCCCAGACTACTGTACCTAAAGTGGTTCCCTGACCCCAACTCCTTTCATTCAGACCTTTCTCTTTATTTCATTCAGTGCATCTCCATTATCTGCAGTTACTCTGTTTTTACTACTTTTGTGTCTACTTCTAAGCTGGTACTTTCAGGAGGGCAGAGACTGCTTGTTTTGCCCACAGCCGTATTGCCAGCATCTGGCACAGAGTAGGAGCTCAATGGATACGTGAATGAGTAAAATGAATGAATTGGGGAGAAGTTCAGAGCATGCAAGCAGAACATAGAATTTTTTTTTAGATGTATGGTGATGAAAAGAGAGACTTTTAAGGAGGGAATGACTTCAGAAAGGAAAACACAGAGGCGGGCAAAGGGATCTGGGTGGGTGAGTCGGAAAACTTTGGTGGTAAGAAATAAGCTTGTTTTCAGAGGACTCCCAAGATTACTAGTGGAAAGGAAGAGGGATGGAGGCGGGAGGCAGGGAATAGTAGAAGGAAGACAGGGACCTGTGGAAAGGATTGGTAGGTGGGAGCTTCTTGTTTGGCTGGGGGTGGAGGGGCTGATTCTCAGCTGCGTGCCTTCTAGTGTGGAGCAGGCATTTAATAAATGTTTGTGGGTCTTAAAGACGGTGGGCAGAAGGGATGATTATGCGATGAGGAATGACTTGCGGTGGCGGCGGGGTGAGAGGACTTGGGAGGAGAGGCGCATAGGACAAGGATGGGGTATATGTAGGGAAGCAAGAATCTTAAATGGGAGGGCAGCTGGCCGGGAAAGGGAGAGGCATAAGGATTTCAGGAATTTAGAGAGTGGGTGGATGTGGCTGAGAAGGGGAGGATGGTTATCTAAAGGAGACTGGGCCTCCTGCTAGCATCCTGGTACCTTCAGGCTCTCCTCTAACTCTGCCTAACTCTCGCCCTTTTAAATTACTTGAGTAATTATTGAATGCATTTCCTGTGCCAGGTACTTGCTAAGGATTTCCTGTGTGTGATTTTCTTCAGTCCTGCAAGTCTATGAGTTATAGGAACTATTACTGTTTCCATTTTGTGGAAGTGGAAACTAAGATTCAAAGAGGTTAAGTTGCTTGCCCCCCAAGGTGACAACAGCTGAAAAGTGTCAAAGCCAGGTTTTGTCTTTAGTGCTTGCATTCATTACATGTGGTTTTGAATAAAGCCTCCCTTATGATTCAGTTTGGGAAGACTTTGAACTTGGCAGTCTTAGTGTCCAATGGGGCATCTTCGCCAGCCAGCCAGCCAGCCAGCCAGCCAGCCAACCAGGGAATGGTAGAGGTTCTCAGGTTCCTTTGACATGTCCTAGGAACTGCCCATGTTCAATGCTTGGGTCGCACGGCCATTGGGTGCCTTTTTGAAAATCTGAGCTGCCTTCCCTGCATCAGGCAGATCAGCTCAATCCGTATCACAGCCTGAAGAACCTGGCGATTTGTGTCCTGCTGTGGGGCTTAGAAGATCCCAAAGCGGCTTAGGAAAGAGTGCCGTAAACAGCCAGGGCTCACCCCAGTGCTGTGGTGCGCTTCCTTTGCGTCTGATAGTCAACATCGTGGGCCGTGGGCACAGAATGAGGGAGTTCCCTGAGGGAGTTCACAGACTGGTGGGGGAGACAGCCCTGCAGTGGGTGACTGTACAGCGTGACACATGCTGAGATCGCTGTAGGTCCAGCATTCTTGGAAGCATTCTGGGGAAGGCATCACCAGAGCAGGATCTTCAAGGGTGAACAGGAGCCACTGTGTGGGGCAGCAGCATGTGGGAGGAGGACCCTGGAGTTTGTGGTGTATTGAAGTGGGGCTGATAGCTGTGGGACACAAGGCTGGAGGTCGAATGGGGCTTGGGCTTCATCTGACCTGTAGGGTGACCACCTGTCCTGGTGTGTCTGCGACTCAGAGGTTTCCCAGGAGTAAAACTGGGAAAGTCCTGGGCAACTGGAACAAATTTGTCACTCAGCCAGGAACACTCCTAATACACTATAATATTAGGACATTCCTAATACACTCTTGCCTTGACTTAGGGCAGTGTGGGTGGAGAAAGGAAATTAAGATATTAAAAAGAAATTTGGAATTGACTTTTTTTTTTTTTTTTGCATACAAAGCATCTGGGAATCCTCCCCCTTTTAAAAGTAGACTTTAGTTTTAAGGACAGTTTGAGATTTACAGGAAAGTTGGGAAGATAGTTCAGAGAGTTGGAAACTCTTTTTGAACCCATGACATGCCCAGCTTTCAAACTGGAAAGGAATCTTTCTGTTAGACAGGGTTTTACTTTTGTCAAATAATGGAAAACTGTGTACTTATGGTCTTTGTTTACTGAATTGAGTTATGATTTAATCGAGGCAGACTGAAATTGTAAGAGGTTATTTGCCACACATCATGAGTGGTTTATTACTTAGACTAGCGGTGAGGCTGTGACGCTGACTAACAACACATGCCCTCCACGAAGCAGAACCTTTACTAACGGAGTTGTTTGCTACTGAAACATCACCTTTACTAGGAACTTTGAGTCAACAAACTAATAGAACTTTTTTTAGTGGTGTGTTGTGGTATCAAGTCTGATCACCTTTGTATTCAGGTCAAGATTCTTGGTTGTCAGTGACAGGAACCCAGCTGTAATTGCCTTAAGCGTCAAACAGAATCGATTGCCCCTGTCACTGACCCGTCTGTCCCGGCTGCACCACAGCTGGTCCAGGTGTTCAGATGAAGCCATCAGTACTGCCTCTTTTCCAGTTCTTGTCTCTGCTTTCTTCTGTGTTGTGTTGGTGTTGTTCTCAGCAGGCTCCAGGCTTACTTGGTCTCAGGTTAGCAATCCCTGGCAAGAGGAGAGCTTGTTTTCTGAAAATTGCCAGCAGAAGTCCAGAAGTGAGTGTGGTTGGGCCGAACGGGGATTTCACGCCCATCTCTGAGTAGTTACTGTGACAAAGTGCATGGGGTTCTCTTAATTGCCCCTTCTCTGGGCCAGGGTGGCATCAGCGCCTCCCCAAGCTGGTGGACAGAGAATGAGAGAAAGCAGCAATTCCCGTGGGAAAACCAGGGCTTATTACCCAAAGAGAGGAGGACTGTATATGCAGCAGGCAGACGCTCACCACTCTTCTTATCTTCAACTTTTGCCTAAGATGGCACTGATTATTTTTAGAGCTTGGGGTGCAATATTGCCAGATTCATTTTCTTAGAATATTTATTCACCATAAAGGCACCCATTACGTCAGGTCTGAGTTCTTCCAGGTCTTCAGAGGACTGCAGACCCTTTGGCATCCATGTAGTTTGGGGGCTAGGTGAGGGGCCCTCTAAGCCGGGCTGGGGAGCCAGGAGTATCTGTGGTAGGCAGACAGGCGTATAGATGGAGACCTAAAGGGTGAGTGGTTGTGACCAGGTAGCAGGGGGTCAAGGAGGAAGGGCAGTTGCTTCAGGCAGAGGAAACAGCATTTGGTAAACCTGGTGGGAAGAGACTCAGGCCATTCAGAAAGGGGGTGCACGTGGAGTGAGGAGCAGCAAAGTGGTAAGGCAGGAGAAGTTAGAGACTGGGGCCCACTGGGTCTTATAAGTCGTTCAGGAACTTGGACACGAGACCGAAACCAGTGGGGAGCCACTAAGGGTTTTCGAACCAGAGGAGTGTTGTGGGCCAGCCAAAGTTTGGAGAATGGCTTGCAGGGCGGTCAGACTGGAGGTGGGCGTTCCCTCAGGGGATTGTTGCCCATCTTCTAGTAAGTTAGGGTAGCAGCCTGCTGTACTCCAGGGATATTTCTCATGTCACTCCATGTTGATGGTTCTTCTCTCGCACTGTCACCCGTGTCTCACACACCCACCTGTCTGCATCTTTGCTGTCTGCACGCCAGCTCTCCTCCTCTCCCTGCCTGTTCATGCTTAACTGTACCCTTAGAATACCAATTCTTCCATAAAAGTTGCCCTGGTGACTTCAGCCAGAAAGAAGTTTTACTGCCATCCCTAACTTCACTCGTTCCTGGTCCTGCTGCACCACTCCGTGAGCACATTATCACACAGGCTGTGCATCGTCAGAGAGGGAGACCAGCTGTCAGGTGCTCAGGGCCCTGCAAGCTTTAGCTCAACTGTGAGTTAGGTCCCTGGGGAGCCGGCTGGGGTTCCGCAGGCATGTCCTTTGCTATCAGAAATGGTCTTACGTGGTGTATATGTCTGTCGGTCTTTCTCTCCCAGTCTGAAAGTAAGCTTCATGGGGACAAAGACCTGTGTGGGTCCGATGCTGGCACAGGGCCTGGCACATAGTAAGTGATCAAGAAATGTTTGTCACAGAATGAGGAAGAGAGGCAAGTTCAGGCCAGGCTTTTCTTAGCAACAGACTGCTCTTTCAGGTCTGGTTGCAGCCCCTGGGCTGGAGCAGTGACTTTTCCTAAGGCGGAAAGCCCTGCCTCGGCCCCACCTGTGACTGCCAGGTTCCCAGCATCGGAGACCCAGTCTCGCTCGCTGGCCCAGTTGGGCATCTTTCAGGGGTGAGTCACCTGTGGGAGGTATAGGAGCACCACCTGTAATACCTTTTGCTGATCCTCTAGTCTGATTCTACCCTGCATGGAGTGTCTCCATGTCCTGCTGGCCGGAAGACCAGATGCTGACCAAATGAAGGTTTTCAAGGCACAGGGAGGGATGCTTTGGGGAGCGTCTGCTGTGGTTCTGAGCAGGCCACGGACACAGCCTCTGTGTCTGCCCTCCCCACCTCAGACATTGTTATTTGGGGGTGTGTGCTTCAGGGGGGTGGATTTCTAGTTTCCATAGGCCTCCCTCGCTCCATTCATCCTTTCTCATTCTCTAGCTTACGGATGAGTTTCAGTGTCTCCCAAAGGAGCATCCTAGAGGCATTTATGATATGTCATAAAACTTGTGTGAACTTGACCTTAGTGTGTTTGTCTCTGAAATGGACGTAATCAGTATTTACTGTAATGGTGTAATGTGTGGAGCCAGTGACTCCCTGGAGAAGGCAGGGTCATTGGAGAGGCAGGGTTTGTTTACAGTCCGTATTCCTTGGTGATGAGCCTCTAGTGTGTTGGTTGTGTGTTGGCAACAGGTTGCAGTTTTTCAGTCTCCAGGCATTTCAAACTCTAAAGCTCTTCCCTCAAGGTAGAGTTTGCTCATGTGCAAGGGTCTGTGTTGTGATTGTACATTCTGCAGAGCTTCTGCTGGAGATAGGATAGTCCTGGCTCTTTTCCAAAGAGATGGAGTAAGGGTCAGTTACAACAGTTTACCTTTAGATCTGATATGTGTTTTCATGCCTTTTGACTGTTTGGTTTCCTTGTAGGTTAAGCTTTCATAAGTTCATATAAATGCTTGGCTAATGAAAGTGCTGACTGCATTGTTTGCATTTTCTATTGTACAATATATAGCATGAGGGTTAAACAAGGGGTCCAGAGTCAGACTGCCTGGGGCCCCTGTGTGGGGGTTCTGGGCAGGTCCTAGCCTCCCAGAGCCTTAGCTTCCCCAGGCATGAACCCCACAGGGTTGTAGTGAGTGTTTAATGAGTGAATACATCAGACACACTCAGCACAAGGCCTGGCAGTAGGAGGCTACAACTGTGTAATGATAAAAGTGTACACACACCATGTAAGAATTTATTCACTATGTAAGAATTTGTTCACCATATAAGAACTTGTTCGTTATGCTTCAGAAGATTGGAGACTGACGAGAATTAGACTTGAGATGGATTAATGATTGTACATTGAGCATTGACCCCCCCTATACTGAATTTTATTGTTGTTAACAACCATTTGATCAATAAATATGAGAGATGCCCTCTCAAAAAAAAAAAAAATGTACACAGGGTTTGAGAGAAAGTGTTATTGTAACAGTTATTATCATTGCTAGAGCAAAATGTGTCATTCTGTCCTTGGAAACTTACCTGAGATGGGGCACAGCCTTGCACACAAAGATGGCACTTGTAACGTTGTTGATCACCTAAAGGATTGTGAATCCCAGTGCCCAGCAGGAGAGTAACGGCTGGCTTGTCCTTTCAGTGGTGTACTATGTAGCCATTACAGATGCTTGCAGGTGTCAGTAGCCACCATGCTTGTATTTTAGCCAGAGGTGGGAAAAAAGATGGGCATGAGCTCAACTATGTAAATATCCACAGGGAAGAAAAAGACCCGTGGAAATACATAGTAGTTCCAGCAGTGGTCATCTCTGGGTAGTGGCATGGTTGACGGTTGCCATCACTCTTTTTTTGTTGTTGAAACTCACAACCTTTCTAAATTAGTGTTACGTTTAAAGTCAGAAAGTTGTTAAACTATACTGATATATCTGAGATGAATTACTTGATCTTCCAAAGTCCTAGATTTAGAGGCAACATTAAAATATTAAACCTTAATCTACTCAGCTTTCTTTTTCCCGAGTACATTTAAGCAAGCTTATATGGAGGGCATCTTCCTAAAGCATTACCTAGCCTGTGTTAGGGCATAATGGAGAGAAGAGATTAGCAAGGCGCATAGAAATTCAGAGCTGAGATCTAGTGGGTATTTCCATCTACCAACAACAAACATTGAGAAAATTAGTATTTCAGACGCTACCATTTACAACAGCATCAAAAATACATAAAATACTGAGGAATAAATCTAACAAAATGTTCAAGACCCCTATCCAGCAAACATTGAATGGTAAATATAATATTATACTATTGTAAAGATGTCAGTTCTCTCCATATGTAGCTATAGATTTAGGGCACTCTTAAAAGAAATCTCAGCAGGTATTTTTGTGGAAATTGGGAAGGTGATTTTAAAATTTTTATGAAAACGCAAAGGGTCAAGAATAGCCAATATAATAATGAAAAAAAAGAAGTTGGAGGACTTGCATTATCACATAGCAATATTTATTTTAAAGCTGCAGTCATCAGATGGCATGGATTGACATAAAGGTAAACAGATCAGCCGACGTCGAGCATCCAGAAAGAGTGCCCCACGTGTAGTCACCTGATTAATGACAAAGATGACATTGGAGTGCATTGGAAAAATGAGGACCTATCTTCAGAAAATGATGCTGAGTCAACCAGATAGCCATATGGAAAATTGAATTTTGGTCAATATCTTACCCTATACACAAAAATCAGTTTCAGATGCATTGTAAGTCAAAATGTCAAAGGTAAAACTATAACTCAGCAGTAATGGGCGCATGCTGCCCTGCTCTCTATCCCCTGCTCTCTCATGACCTGGGATGGAGGACTGTCCTGTCCCCCCAGCCCCTCAGTTCAGGAATCTGTAAGTAATAAATCTTGTGACTCTGTTTCCTTTGTGTGGGTCTGTTGAAACTGTGCCTTCAATCAAAACGACCTGGTGGGTTTCATTTCCCCCTCGGGGAGCTCACATGTCCAGGAAGCTATCTGCTGCCCCTGTGTGGGTGGCTTGTGCCTCTTCATTCAGCAGGTCAATCTGCATTTGTACACCACCTCGGGCTTTTCACCAGAGAAGGCTTCACTAAGAGATGCCTGAGCTGAGTTTTAGGTTTGCTGGTTGGTCTGGGCAGCAAGGGCGTTCCAGGCAGAAAGCATAGTGAATGGAAGTCAGGGCTGGTCCTAAAGATTTTAAACTCTCCAGTCCCTACTGAGGGGTCTTTGAAGCAGACCCACTTACTCAGGCTGCTGCCTCCCTCGGGGTCAGGAGTGTGATAGTGGGATGCTAATGGATATTGTCCTCTATACAGAAGGCAACACCAGCGGGGAGGATCTGCCTGTTGTGTCAGGGTGCGGGATGGCATTGCGTGCCATGACCACTGTTGGCCATGGTGTGAGTGATGCAGTGGCTCTGAACTTCGGTGGGAACTCCTTGCAAATGCAGATCTGGAGCCCTGCACCCAGGAGTCAGATTTAATGGGTCTTGAGGGGGCAGGGGGAGCTGCCAGAATATGCAACTTCAACGTGATGCTGGTGCAGGAGGCCTGTGAACCACAACTTGGAAGAACTGCTCTGTGAACCTCTTGGGGAAGATACACTCAATACAAGCTGGGGACATAGGCAGAGACTTAGATTCCCAAGTCGGTCCCGTTGTGTTTCCTCCCAGGGGGGCTCAGAGCTGTGGAGTTACCTTATCTCAGAGGGAAGCCCTGCTCGTAGATTTGGCACAGGTGGTAGGGGTGTCTGTTTTGGGAGAGCTGTTTCAGTTGTTGGCACATTAAAAGTTGCATGCAATTTTTAATTAAATAAGTAAACAGTAGATTATATTGTGTCTTCAAAATGTAACAACAGCAAGAATATTAAGAAATAAAACCTAGCCCCCTAGAGCAGAAAAATCCTTACTGTTCCATCTGCAAGGTTCTACCTCTTTATATCCTGCCCATTTTTAGGAATTTCCAGAGGTACGATCCCATCTAATTTTCCCTACCTTGCTCTCACTGGCCCCCACCCCCAAACTGAAGATGCCCATAAAAGAAGCCAGGAGGTGGCTCTTCCTGAGGCACCCCCTCCTGATGTCCCCTTTTCCTCCCCAAGCCGTGACAGCTGAAGTCAGTCTGTGGGCCCTGGAGACACTGTCTCTTCAAAGCTGTTCCAGGTGGCATTTCCTAGGGCATCTGGCCAGGCTACCAGTTCCCATACTGCTCACGACTGGCCTCAGCAATTCTTTTGGTTGCCCTCACTGCCAGCAGGGGCCTCTCGAGGACTGGACTGGGCCTACCTGTCTCTGTCCCAGGGGCTGGCACAGGGCTGGAGCAACATAGGCCTTCCAGCACATTTGTGGGAGGATGTTGGGGGGTGAAGTACAGTGCCATTGACTTAATCTGTCCTCAGCAAATCAGGTTAGTGCTCTGGAGCTGCAAGCCCCCACTTTATTTGAGCCTTCAGTTCTGAAGGGCGTTCTGCACTTTTGGGGGGACTGTGGGCAATTCCAACGGTATGTATCATTATATACAATTACATGAGCAACATTGTGGTTACTAGATTCCCCCCATTATCAAGTGTCCAAGGGTACTCTTGATCGCATGTGAGGCTTTGGGACCCATCCTCCCTAATCTGTGACTGCACCTCTCCAAATTTGCATCATCCTGGCTGTGGGTCTTATGTTAGGCATCCAGCTCTGAGCCATGTGTCTCCACGGGCTCTGCCAGCATCAGAATCACATGGGGAGGATGTGGAAAGGCCAATGCCTGGTCTACACGCAGGACTGCGGAATCTGAATCTCTCCAGGGCCTAGCTCTCGAGGCGATCTGCACCCTGGAGTTTGAGGGTGGCTATCTACAAGGGCTTGATACTCTTGCCTCTGTTTGTGTTTGGGTCGGTGTGTCCCTGGTTCTTTAATACTTCAAAGCATCGCCTGCCATTTTTCTGGGATAGTGAGTTATGTCTCATCTGAATGGGAATTGTGCTAACCGGAAAAGCACAGCCCGATTGTCCCCGAAATGTTGCCAGTGTTTCCTGAGCCTGGCCTGTGTCTCTGCTGGTAGTCCTTCATTTTCTCTTCTTTCCTTCCAGGTATCTATACCACGTTTTGACCAAAAACACCACAGTCACAGAACAGAACCGGAACCTGCTAGTGGAGACCATCCGTTCCATCACTGAGATACTGATTTGGGGAGATCAAAATGACAGCTCTGTATTTGAGTAAGGGTTTCTAGTGTTTTTTTGTTTTCTTCTTCTTCTTCCTCTGAATGATTCTCTAAATGTATACCATGAATCATTCCTGGTGATGTCACGGTTTGGTGCCAATTTGGTTGTGCACAGATATCTATCCATACCTTCATCTATCCATGTAAAATGTCCTTGAAACTCTGTAGAAATACAAGCTGAAAATGGGGAAGTTATGGAAATGAGTATCTCCAGAGAAATCTGAAAATATTGCAGGTAATTTTCCAAATAGTGTCCGATTATCTCCCCAAAGGAAGAACATGTCCTGGGTGGTTACAGTCTAAGAGAAATGAAAAGACCAGGCCCTGGGGAGACACTCAGGGCTGATATTTATTGTGTTTAGTGATGGGCAGGTACAGTGCTGGGCTCTGGATGCAATAATCCATCTACATGTCCCAACCACCCCAGGGCAGAGGCTCTGTATTACCCCCAACCCTATTTACGCTCAAGGTCACACAGCCAGTAAGCAGCGAAGCAGCAGCTCATGCCCAGAGCCCATAAAGGGGTGTCTCCTCATTCTTATACTTCCTAGATGAGCAACCTTAAGCCATCCTCAGCTTCGTCATCTTTAAAAGAGAGTGAAGTTCTCTGCCTAGTGCCTGTTACAGAGCAGGCACTCAAGAAATGTTAGCAAATGATAATTCAAAGAGGTGTCACTATTGGGCAGTTAAAAAGCAAAGGTTGTAAACAATGAACTACTTCCCCAAAAGACCTGTCTGTGTGCAGAAAGATTTGGCTTAAGACAACCACCAAACACAGATTTTATTTTTATATACAATAAACTCAATTGTAAATATTGAGGCCACTTAAAAATCCACTTAAAACAAATATAGGTGTTCCATTTTCAACCTGGCTTCTTATTAGATATATCCTGATTTTCCAAATAGCTCTTTATTTTTCATCAGTAAGATAATCTAAGATAATGCTACTTGTGGAAAATGCAAAGTCTTTAAAATGGAAATCTGGGACACTGGCCAGGATCTTCAAAGGAAAACATGGTTAATGAAGTGAACTGTTGCTTACAAACAGGACTAGTTTCTTGTAAGGATCCATGAGGAATTGGTTGGTTCGTTGGTTTGTATCTGTTTTTGGAAGTTTGAAAGACCCTTCAGTTGAAGATTGGAAGCTGTGTCCCCATTTACTGGAGGAGACTTTACTAGTCCATCTGTCACCTTAGAGAAGCTGAGCTCTTAGGGGCCTAGTGGTTCTTAAATGGCTGCCCAACAGAGTCCCGAAGATAATTTGTTTTTAGTATATTTTTTTTAGTTTGGGGTAATTTTAGATTTATAGAATATTTGGGAAGATAGTACAGAAAGTTCCCACACACCCTCACCCTGTTTCCCCATTGTTAATGTCGTACGTGACGAGGGAGCCGTTGTCAAGACCAGGAAGGTGCATCACTGCTGAGTGACGCCAGGCTTGATTTGGACTTAGCCATTTTTGCATCAATGTCCTCTTTCTGTTCTCCAGTCCCAGTCCAGGCTCCCAGTCTCCTCTGGTCTGTGACCATTTTATGGTCTTCTCTTGTTTTTCGTGTGATGGTTCTGGTGGTACTGGCCAGCTGCCTGTGGAATGTCTCCTAGTCTGGGTTTCTCTGATGTGTTTCTCATGGGTGAAAGGGCCCTTCTCGTGCTATTGTGCCGGCATTCATGACACACGTGATCCTCATCATGGTGACCTGATTGCTTGGATGAGGTGGTGGCTACCAGATTTTTCCACTATAAAGTTACTCTTTTCCTCTTTCCCTACACTGTTCTTTGAAAGTGAGCCACTAAATATAACCCACCTGGGTGTGGGAGTTCAGCTCCACTTTCTGGAAGGGGGCAGTACCTACAAATACTATTTGAAATTCTTATGCATGGAAGATTTGTCTCTTCTCCCCACTTATTTATTTATTCAATCCTTTATTTACATCAGTACGGACTCAGGGATATTTATTTTGTGCTTTGAATTGTCATACAATACTACGTTGTTTTATTATGTTGACTGAATTGTTCCAGCTTTGGCACTGGGAGCTCTGTCAGGTTGGTTCCTGTGTCCCTTTGATGTGCACCTTCCTTCTCTTTTTTTCCAGCACTGTCTTACTTCTGGGTACTGAGAGGGGCTCCAGGCTCACCTTGCATTTTACCTGCCCTGGCCTGCAATCAGCCAGTTCTCCAAGGTGCCCCCACTCCCCTAGGGAGTTTTAAAAATCCAGGCTCCTGGACTCATACTAGATGTATGGAATCTACCCCTGGGCAAGTCTAGGTACAAATATTTTAATGAGTCCCCAAGTTGGTCATTGTGCTTGTTGGGTGATACTCGGGAGTCACTGATTTATACAGCCTGAAGCAGAGGAAGACAAAATAGGTCAAGTGACAGAAATATTTGGGCGATCAACATGAGTGGCATTTGTAGGCAGACAGGCTTCCAGAGTCAGAGTTGGAAAAGATTTTAGGAGTCTTTTTTAGGTCATAATTATTCACTCATTTACCTTTCAGGGATTCAGACCACAGTTACGCAACAGTGGGCAGGTGCCAGGCCCATGGTCTTGCCACTGTGGAGCTGACAGTCGAGGGGAGAGAGACACCCAAAACTAAGTCACCCAGCAGGCACATGACTGTGGGGATCTGTTCTGAGTGTCCCAAGTGAGAGGTCATCTGGTCTTAGCTTGACAGAGAACTAGAAACATCATTTGCTTCCTTTAAAGAAAGGCATTAGTGGATTCTATTTCCATTTCAAGAATAGAAGAGCCAGTGTGTAGCACAAAAGCCAGTGTCCCCAGGATGTAGACAAGTGTCCTGTCCAGAACCAGAAAGGCAAGAGCAGCTGCAGGGGCTGGCCGGGGTCCCGCCGCCATGGCGGCACCTGCTGTTTGCTGCCGCTTCTTTCCCCTAGATAGGAAAACCACAAACTTCACATTTTGGAAACCAAACCTTTGAACACGGTCAGCATTCTCTTGCCTCTTTGTAGGGATTCCAGTTGTTATTTAACGCTCAGAAGTATGGAAGCCAAGGAAAGAAGCTTAGGAAAACAAAGGCTATAAAATATTTGATGGAAAAAGCTGCTTGGCAGGTTTATAAGCGTAGATAGATTACTGTGTGATCATGTTGTAAGTCAGATCCTTCCCATTCTGTCAGTTATCTAGTTCACTGCTTTCCAGAATAAGCACTGTTCTCACATTCTGGGAAGAGAGCTTGGAAGGCTGCGTTTGCCTCCCTGGGAGACGCATCACGGGAGCCGGAGAACGTGAAGCCGAGACCATGCAGGTGGTGTGATCTGGCTGCTCCCGGATGCCTTCGTGGGTCCGAGGCAGTCCGCCCCAGAGGATGATTTCCATTTCCACGTATAGAAGCAAACCTCTGATTCTTTCCCCTTCTCTCCCCAGCTTCTTCCTGGAGAAGAACATGTTTGTCTTCTTCTTGAACATCCTGCGTCAGAAATCAGGCCGCTATGTGTGCGTCCAGCTGCTGCAGACCTTAAACATCCTCTTCGAGAATATCAGCCATGAGACCTCACTTTGTAAGGACAGCCCCTGACACTTTTCCGCCACACTGCTGGGTGTGGAGCTGGGCACGGTTGTCATGTTGCTTCTCCAACGTGTGCATTTAGTGTGTGTCTCAGCGTGCTTGAGTAACAAATACCCCAGTCTGGGTGGCTTCAGCCACAGAACTTTATTTCTCACAGTTCTGGAGGCTGCAAGTCCAAGGTCAGAATGCCGTGAGGGTTGGTTTCTGGTGAGGCCTCTCTCCCTGGTGTGCAGACGGCGGCCTTCTCGTTGTCTCCTCGCTGGCCATTCCTTGGTGCTTGTGGAGAGGGAGTTCTTTTACAAGGGCATCAGGCTTCTCAGATCAGGGCCCAGCCCTGTGTCCTCCTTCAACCACAATTCCCTCCTTCAAGCCTCTATCTCCAAATAGAGTCACACGGAGGGTCAGAGCTTCAGCACAGGAATTTGGGAGACACACAGTTCAGACCATAACACCGTGTTCATCCCTGTGTGTTGGGGGCCTGTGAAGAGCTAAGAGAGGGCTCTCCTCTGCCGTGTGATTCTGGGAGTGTCTGCATTTCTTCTCTGTAGCTTGTTACTGAAGAGTTGGAGTTGCTGCACCATCAGCCAGCAGAATAAGCATTGGGAGCAGCAGGGTGGGAAGGACTCAGCCAGGGAGCGTGTAAGGGCAGATGGGCTGTGGCACCCGATCCGCCTGCTTCAGCTCCACCGCCCGACTTGCGAGGGGACGCCTGGGTGTATGCCCCGCCTCACTCAGCCCCAGCTCCTCATCTGGAGCAGCCACCCTGAGAGGCAGATGCTGGGGGTGCCCTTGTTTTACACCCAGAGAGTTCGGGTCACTGGCCCATGGTGAGTGCTCTAGCAAGGCCGGAATCGAGACGGGGCTTCAGCGCAGGTGAGTTAGCTCCGTGGTCCTCACCCGGAGGGGCTGTGCTGCTGCCAGCACCTAGTGGGTAGAGTCCAGAGACGCTGCTCACTTCCTACAGTGCACAAGACAGACCCCCACATCAAGAACTATCTAGCCCAAAATGTCAACAGTGCCGAGGGTGAGAAACCCTGGTTCAGTTCCTAATCCCCAGTGCTTGACCACTAGCTTTAGTATTCCAAGATGACTGCACCAAGCCCAGGCCCTGCCCAGAAGAAGTAGACGAGAGGGCAAGTGACTGAATGTCAGCATCAGTGGCAGCCTCCAGGTCTCCACAGTGGGTTCGAGAAAAGTTTCTGGTTGGTGGAAGGAGGTAGAGGATGTGGCTGTGCTCAGGAGGGAGGAGGCGGAGTAGGAGGGAGCTGCTCAGCCGGGGCTCCCAGAAGCAGCCGCTAGATGGTGCTGCTGTTCCAGGGGCCTCCTTTCCCTTCCCTTCCTCATGAATGGGAGCCGACAAATAGGAGGTGACTCACCCTCCCTGAGTGGTTTCCCTTGCTACCAGCTTTTGTTATCCTGGATATGAACTGTCTGCAGTTGCTGAAAACTCCCACGAGGGGAAGAGCCAGTTCAGTGGTGCAGGCCCTGGGCTCAGACCCACCTAGGTCCCAGACCCACATATGCCCGTATACTGTGCCCCGTACTCCCGGCCTGTGTCCGGGTTGTGAACCCTCCTGGCTGCAGTGTCTGCCTGTGCAGTGGAGATAATCCCGGTACCCAGGGAATAGAGTGGTTAGAGGATTAAGTGTGCCAGTTGGTGTGTAAAGTATAGTGGGGGGTCTGGCAGTTGCAAGAGTCTTTTAGAGTTGGTTTTATCATTAAATACAGTGTTCCCCCACATGACTGTTCGCTGTAACACTTTCCAGGCCCAGATTGTCAGCCATAGGCTCCTGGGTTAAAGGTAGGAGTTGGGACGATAGGAAATTCTGGGGCCTCTGGGTCATATGGCTACACTAGGACTCAAAACGGTGCTGTACTATAAGAAACCCAGGCCAGTGCCCCCGGCGAGATGGGGAAATTCACCAGAGTGTTTTTATAAGCTCTGCAGAAATGACAGAAATTGCTTTTTTTTTTCTTTTACAGAACTTGGATTTATGGGGGTGGAAGAATAGATGAGTTTTGCTTTTATTTTTATTTTCTAATTATAGAATGAAGATGTCCTTATTATAAACAACAACAACAAAAAAACGAACTCCACAAAAATACAGAAAGCAGAAGTCCTTCAGATTCTCACCCTAACAGTTCAGTGGACACATAGCATTTTGCTGTTTGCTTTATTTTTGCCCAGCCATCTAATGTTATCTTAGATTTTCATATTGTCTGCTCCTGCATCCCTACCAAGTTTGATTTAAGAACCACATCTTGCTGGGCTGTAAGTTATTTAACCTGACCATGGGCATTTAGGTGGTTTCCGGATTTTCGCTATTACAAAGAGCCATTTCACAAGTGCACCTGTTGCCTATTGGGTTTGGTGACCTAAGTGACAGAAGGCCTGAGAGACCAAGATTACTTATAGACTTCTGGGTTTATTATAAAAGGATACCACAGAAAGTCAGCCACACAGTGAGGGGGTAGTAGAAAAATCCCAGCCGAATAATAGAGGCACCGCTTCTGACCCCCTGATAGTCCCCACCACCCACAGAGTCACCCTGGAAAAGCCCCTGCTGGGGAATGATTGGAGCATGTGGCTTTTCCAGCTCAAGAAGGTAGCCAAGAGGCTCCGGGTTACACATCTGAAGCTGCCATCATAGGCATCTGTGCCTCTGGTGGCCCGGAAGCAAATCAGTCACAACAGGGCTTACTGTGGCGTCTCAGCAGTCCCTTCTCCTGCCAGCCCCTTCGTCCCCGGCCACAGCAGCAGAATGACAAAGGAGAGCTCTGGGCATCCGCAGCACCTGGGCTGCCTGGTATAGGCTAAGGTTCTAGGTGGCTAGGCTGTGGACTCTTCAAAGAATGAATAGGATATAGCAAAAAGCTAAAGGGCACGGACTGCTGGGACATGCAGCATCATGGCTACCTCGGATGTGGAACAGAGCCTAGGAGGCCAGGCGCCAGAAGAGTGCCTACTGTATGGTTCCTTGTAAATGAAGTCCAGGAGCAGGCAAAACAAGTCTGGTGATAGAAGCCAGACCAGGGGTTGTGTTTGGGGAAAGGTATCGATTGGGCAGGGACATAAGGGAGCCTTCTGGGGAGCTGGAAATGCCACGTGTCTGATCTGGGTGCTGCTTACATGGTATAAATATTTGCAGAAATTCATCAAGCTGGCACCTAAGGCTTGTGAGGTGTGTGTGTGTGTGTGTGTGTGTGTGTACATATATGTATGTGCATACACACACATTAGTATGTGTACTTAATATTCATTATATTGGTACGTTTCCACATATATCAAGCTATACACTTAAGATGTGCGAATGTGTAACCTCATTTTCAAATACATTAAGATTCTCGGGACCCCACCCCAGACCCATTGCCTTCTCTCTTAGAAAGGGCCTTGAGATTTGCCCCAGGAATTATAATCAGGAGATTTCAAAAACTACAGACTTCACAGCTTGCCAGCAAAGCCCGCTCTGAGAATACCCAGTGCGCTCTCTGAGTGCGGTGGCTCCCCTGGGGAGCTGGCTTCTGACGAGCGCCTGGCTGTGGGCCCATGCCATGACCCTTCTCATGGCCTTGTGCTCCTGGGTGGCTCTGTGTTCTGTTTGGTGATTCTAGCCTTTTCAGTAATATTTTGATTGGCGATCTTTGGCACCACACACCTTAATCATTTATTTTTGTTTCACCCAAGAGCAACTATGTTCAGTCCCGGCGCCCGGAGGACTGGTGGTGGGGAGTGGGGATCTCCAAGTGGTCATCCCCTGAGGAGCAGTGGCAGCTCCCGTTGTTGAGGGCTGACCTCGTGTTCCTCGCTGTCCTGAGCGCTTTTTGTGCATTATCTCCTTTGATCCTCACGGCAACTCTGAGGATGGTATTGTTTTTCCTGTTCTCGGACAAGGAATTTAGGGACTGGGGAGGGTGAGTGCCCCGTCACGGTCTCCCAGCCAAGAAGTGGAAGAGATGGTGCGGATCCAAGGTCACTTCTGAGTCTACTGCCTCCAAAATAGGAACATGACAGGAAGCCCCGGGGGCCTCTTGCCACACAAAGTGCTGGGCCCGCCCCTGAGATCAGAGCGGGTGCTCAGGGCTGGGGCCGGGATTCTGCATGTGTGACAAGCGCCAGGTGATGGTATGCTGCCTGCGAGCCTGAGGACCAGATTTTGAGTAGCTCAGCTGTGAACCACTCTACCGCCTCCCTGAATCTGCCTGTAGACACAGGTGTTGATCACAGCCTGCAGTGTAACAGTTTATGGGGAGGCAGATGGGATGGAACGGAACGACTGGAAGCCCAAAGGACAGACAGTGGGGGTGAAAGACCTGCCTTTCAGGGTGGCCAGGAAGGACTCAGAGGAGAACATGTCTGGCAAGGACCCAACGCCCAGATTTTGAACTACAGGCCCACTGGCTACAACTGGTCTATAGACCTGTTTTTCTTGGCCAGCACAACTTTAAAAACTAGTTGATTTGGTGGCCAGCATTTCAAAGTCAGGAGATGCAGCATTAAACTCTGTTTCCAACTGCCCTTGCCTGGCTGGCAGCTCTCACTGTACATTTCTGCAGGGGCTAGGGGCTGGGAGCCTGGAGGGGGCGGCTGTTCTCCAGCTGGCCCCAGTGCCCCCAGGCCCGCATCATCCACTCTTCAGTAGTGGACCCTGTTAGTGCATGAGATTAACGCAGGCTTTGACATTGGACCTGAGTTCAAATCCCGTCTTTGCTGCTTAATGCCTCTGTGTCCTCTGGCAAATTAAACAACCTCTCTGAACTTTTCTTTACTCATCTGCGAAATAGGAAGAATGGGACCTATTCTGCAACATTGTGAAAATTACTTATAATGTAATAAAGAAAGCACTGACCCAGGTGCTGGGCATGTGGTAGAGATTCAGCATAAAGCAATGCCTTTTGTGAAATCATGTTACTATATAGGGAGGAAGAAACTGTGTATAGCCCTTTGTGGCATCCAGGGATGACAGTGGGACTTTGGTGGCAAAATGGGGCAGCTTTTGATAAAGTACAGTGCTCTTTACCTTCATCCGTGGGTAGTTTGTGAAAATGCCCACGTACCAACTCATCTGTTCCGCCCCCAGCTCTATACTGAACTTTGGCAGCAATGAAAAGAATGTTCAAATTCAAGTGTTTTTTCTGTGTGGGAGGGAGCGGTAACCCGGGCTGTTCTCCGGCAGTGCTCTTGAACTTTCTAGTGACTGTGCGTAGTGACTGATTTCTTTGCTGGTTAAAGGTTAAGCTGCTCCTGCTAGCTTGTTAAACAACGCTGAACCTTGACTGGGTCGCATACATTCGCACGGTCATGTCCTGTTACCTGACTTCCTCTGCCCGTCTTGCTTTCAGCATGAACTAACCTTGTCTGTTTTGCCTTGTTTTCTCTCCCTCTAGATTATTTGCTCTCCAATAACTATGTAAATTCTATCATTGTCCATAAGTTTGACTTTTCTGATGAGGAGATTATGGCATACTATATATCGTTCCTGAAAACACTTTCATTAAAACTCAACAACCACACTGTCCATTTCTTTTACAATGAGGTAAGTACCTGCCAGGGGGTACATTTGGGTGGAAAGCTAGCCAGTCAGAGCTGCACCTTCAGGGGTGGCCTGGTGTCTGTTTACAGAGCACCTATGTGCTCACTGTTTCCTGATTTTCATAGCAACACTGTTTGACCTTGGCATGTTTTAATTTTCTTTTTTTCACTTAATGAGCTACTTCTCTGTTTTTAATGTAAAATTCAGTTTGTGCTACCTGAGAGCACTTTACACTCTCGGCAGGGATAAGTGTCTGGAAGTTAACTTGGGTTCGTGTTTCCCTGTAGGGAAAATAGGAACTCCAGTCAGACCCAGCTTTGCCATTTCCCTGCTGTGTGACCTTAGAGAAGTCCCAGTCCTCTGAGCCTCAGTTTCCTCATCTGAGAAATGGGGATGATAGTTTATACCTTTAAGAGTTTTCCAAGGATTGAATTAAATGAGATGATATCTTCAAAGTACCTAATAAGTACCTAGCTCCCTAAATTGTAGCCATTGCTATTCTTTATGAGCCAATGTCCCTGGTATTCCTTGGGAGAATTACTAGCAATTTAAATAAATAAACTGCTGTTGTTCTCACACTTAAAAGGAGCTTGAACAATAAGGTCATTTTACCTCACATACCAAAAGGGACAGATAACAGTTGTCCTAAGACTGGTTCATCCTATGGCTCAAATACTTCGTCAAGGACCCAGACTCTTCTGTCTTCGTGCTCTGCTGACCGTACAGTTGGTATCTGTCCTCAGGCTCAACCCTTCACAGTTTCAGAATGGCTGCAGCAGCTCCAAACATCACATATGTACCACTGCTGAAAACCCTAATGAAAACATTCCCTTCCTAACTTCCAAAAGAACTTCTCCCAGAAGCCTCCCAGTAGATTTTTACTCATCTCTGCATGGTCAGAATCGCCTCACATTTCTCTCATGGTGTGTCCAGAATTTGGGAGTGGCCTGGCAGGGCAGCTCTGGTTTGGTTTCTCACAAGGCTACAGCCACCCAAAGGCCATCTGGATCAGAGCTGGAGGATCTGCTTCCAAGGGGGCTCATTCATTTTGCTGGCCAGCCCGGGCTGGCCATTAGCAGGAGGCCTCGGTTCCCTAGGCTTCTCCAGGCGCTGCTTGAGTGTCCTCTGGCTTCCTCCAGAAGGAATGACCCAGGAGAATAAGGCAAGCTGTAATGCCTTTTAGGGCCCAGCCTCAGGAGCCACACACCATGCCTCCCACCATATTCTTTAGGCCCCACTGGCCAGCCTGATTGGTGTGGGAGGGAACGATGCAGTGTATAAATACAGGAGGTAAGCATCAGCGGGCCACCCTCGAGGCCACCTACCACACAGCCACGTGCTGTTGGCGTGGCACGTTATCTTCTGATTGGCAGTGCACTGCACAATCTATATCTGAAGTCTGACCATAGTCCCAAACATATGTGAGTTTGGACAAAATCCATCCAGCTGTCCCCATGTAATATGGCAACAGCAGCCCGAACCTTGATTTTCTTTGGATGAGTGGGAAGAGCTGGCCTCAAAGGGAAGAAATACTAGCTGTCAACCACAAAATGCATGGCAGGTTGAAAAACTAACATTGTGTGGCCCAGTACCTGGTACGTAGCAGGTGCTCATTAAACTTGTCCAGGGACCAAGCGGATGGCATTTGCCTTCTCCCAGAGGCTCTCCCAGGTGGGAAAAAAAGCCACCAGTGAAGTTCAACAAGGAGGGGACCGAGTCTCTCCATCCACTCAGGAGCGGCTGGGCTTCTGTGCACCTGGCTTGGGAGGGCAGAGTTCAGGGATTCTGGGGCCAAAGTGAGGCTTCTAGAAGAACATTCTGCTGGTTACCAGAGGAGTGGTACAGCCTCATTTTGGGGGTTCCTTTTATGTGCGCCAGTATGGTAGCTACCACTTATTGAGTGTGTACTTACTTGTAGTGCTCAGAGTGGCATTGTCCTCACTAGAGAGCTGTCACCTTGCTGGAGGTTGATGAGTGCCTCTTCCCTGCGCCCCCAGTGCCTGTGGGCACCCTCAGGTGGGACCTGAAGCCATGTGGAGAAATTGGCCAGGAGAGGGCAGCAGAGCACGCCTGTGCGGCTCGAGGCCCAGCTCCTGCTCTGGCTTTTTTCTTAAGGCTTTACCAGCAGAGTTCTGTGGTTCTGAACTAACTGTCTTGATCCACTCAGTGTCAGAGTCCTGAGACCCTCTTCCTCCGTGATAATGTTTACACTGGGTATTTGCAAATAGAGAAATATATCCTAGCCCAAAGGGATTCCGCATATAATAAAACCTTACACTTTTGTTAGTTGAAGCAGCATCCAATAACGACAACTAGCATTACCAGCGAGCGCCTCTTAAGGCAGGTGCTGTGGTAAGTGTGCACTGTGCCTGGGATAATCTCATTTATCCTAGCAACCATGAAGGTGGTATTTTCCCAGCTTTATAGATGAGGAAACAGAAGCTTAGAAATATTGCATCACTTAGCTAAGAAGTGGTAGAAAAGATCGGGAACCCAGATCTAGCGTTACCTGGACACTTTACTATCTTTTCTGAGGTCTTGCCTTCCCATCCCTTCCCATTCCCCATTGGGAATGAACCACTGGCTTAAGGTTCACGTGAGTAACTTTTTACTGAAGTCGGATAGGATTCAGAGAGCCAGGGTTGGGGACATGCCTGTCATACAGGGCATGTAACTCATTTTTGTTATTTCTTTTGTTTTAGCACACTAACGACTTTGCCCTATACACAGAAGCCATCAAATTTTTCAATCACCCTGAGAGCATGGTCAGAATTGCTGTACGAACCATAACTTTGAACGTCTACAAAGGTAAGTTTCCTTATGATCTCATGCTGTGCCTGATTTCTAACGTGACGTCTAGTGCTTGCCCTCAAGAGCATGTACATGCAGTTCCCTGGCAGGACCCAGGAGCTCATTTATCATCGTTGATGTCACACGTCTCATGAAAGGGTCGTAGTGATTGGACAGTTAGCTGGCCCCTCACAAAAATTTCGTCCCACCGCCTTCTCTCTGTGCAGTCGTTTCTGCCCATTGAAGTCTTAGTGCCGATATGCAGTAGTCATATCCTAAGAGAGGCTCCTGTGGATTGAGTGGCCATTTGATAATTAAAGCAAAGCTGTCTTTTAAATGTTAGATTTAAGTTTTTGTGTTTTGGCCTCTAAAATATTCTTCAACCCAGCCAGGGGTATGTGTTATCTTTACATAATACACAGAAGCATTTCACGCCACAAACAGCAGGAAGCAATGTTGTGCTCTCAACTGGCTGCAAAGCTGAGGAATCCCTCCTTTCTTTCAAGATCTACTTAATGCCCCAAACCCTGCCTGCAGGAGAAAGCCCTTTCAGCTCCTGCCTGCACTAGCACAAAGGCTGGCTGGACACAAGTTCCCTGACCTGGAATTGCCCTCCAAGGCAGTGACTTTTCTGCTTGCTGCTGGGGTTGTTTCCTGGTAGTCCTTGCAATGGAGTTAGGACTCCACTTTCTCAGGGACCAAGGGGCTTTGACCTTTACTTGATATGCCCTCTCACTGGGAGAAGGCGGGAGCTCTCGGGCTTCCTCCAGACTAGTTCTGGAATTGCATTAAATTGAAGAGCCTTTCTAAGAGCCTGGTGGGGCCCATCCACGGGTCCAAACCGAGGGCCTGAGAGCCAAATGCAGCCGTCAAACATGTTTTAATTGGCTTAGATATAAAAAAAGAAAAAGATAGAGTTGCCAATATTTAAACGTTGGGAGATCTTGGGTAACAATCTGGATTTCTGACTTGAATGTATAGACTTGGGCTGTCGTGGGCCCATAGTCTTGCAGGGCAGTGGTGAGCTGGTGCTGAGAAGCAGCTGCCTCCCTTGGGGGTCAAGGCCTGTGCTCCCCAGTTCACACACTGGGCCTGCCAGCTCATTCACTGAGTCACTGGCCGGCCGTGCAGGCCTCTGAGTTTTCCGCCTGGTCCAGACCCCCTTTCTGCTGCCTCCCGCCTGTCCCCATCTAACCTGTACCTTGGGTTTAGATGCCTCATGCCCTCGCTCTCTGTCCCTGCTCAGCACTGCCTGGCCCTATTAACTGTTGTCTGTTTTTTGCCTTTCCCTCAATGGCGACTCCTGTGTTCCTTACTCCAGTGTCATGTAAGTCATTAACTTCTGGTTTTCCACTTTCCTAACTTAGCTTTACCTGTAAATACAGGCAGCTTGCTTGAGAATGGTGTAGGTTTCATTGTGGTGTAGCTAAACACACTGTTGATAAGTAGGCTTTCTAATGCACTGTTAATGTTTAGCCCAATTAATTAACTTTATTAATTATAAAAATAACACAAGAACTGCTTAATGAGTATAGTTTTATGAATAAGATAACGACTTTCAAGTATTTCCAGGAAAGACAGAAAAGATTCAGATTATAGTGGAGGGCTTTTTCATTGTGGTTTTTAAAAAATTTCTTCTTCTTTTTTTTAAATCTTCCCAAGTTATTTTTGGTGGCTTGACATTTTTCTCTGCTTTTGTGAATTTTCTCAGTGGATAACCAGGCCATGCTGCACTATATCAGAGATAAAACTGCCGTTCCTTACTTCTCCAATTTGGTCTGGTTCATCGGGAGCCATGTGATCGAACTTGATAACTGTGTGCAGACCGATGAGGAGTAAGTGCTTCTGACGTAGACAGAGTGGTCAGTGGATTTGGGGGAATATCATCAAGGAAAAATAAACACTAGAACAAAACTTACCACCGAGGTGTAGGCAGAAAGTGGATTTCCATAGTCTGAAAGGTTCCACCCACCTTTCTCCTTTTCATAACAGTGGAAAGTTGGAAACAGCTCAGATACCTCCCAGAGGGGAATAGGGTAAGTAAATTTAGTACACCCCTAGATGAGGTGCTAAGCAGCTGGTAAAAAGATCACGATGATCTTTCAACTGGTGAATGGATAAACAAAATGTGGTATTTACATACAGTGGAATAGTGTTTGACAATAAAAAGGAAGTTAGTCCTGACACATACTACATCATGGATGAACTTTGAAAACATTCTTGCTCAGTGAAAGAAGCCAGAGGCAAAGGACCACATATTGTATGATTCCATTCAGATGAAACGCCCAGAACAGGCAAATCCAGAGACAGGGAATGGATCAGTGGTTGCCAGGGGCGGGAGGATGGGGCTCGTGGGGGGAAATGGGAAGGAGCTGCCTTTGAAGGAGGGCTTCTTGGGGAGGGTGGAGTGGGGATAAAAATGTTTTAGGATTGTGATGATGGTTAAAAAACTCTGTGAACACACCAAGAACTGTTAAATTTATTCTTAAAATGGATGAATTTGTGGTGTGTGAATCATATCTCAGTAAATCTATTTAAAAGAGGAAAAGGTTAAGATGGTGGTTTGGGCCCCACAGTGATGACTTGAGATCCAGAGCAGGATTTCCCAAACTTGGCACTACTAGCCTTTTGAACGAAGTTGTTCTCTGTTGAGGGCCGTCCTGTGCACTGTAGGAGGTTCAGCAGCACCCCTGGCCTCTGCCCACTAGCTGCTGGCAGCCCCTCTTTCCCAACTGTGACAGCCAAACATGTGTCCTAGAAGTTACCAAATGTCTCCTGTGAGGCAAAATCACACTCATTTGAGAACTGCTGCCCAAGAGTGACAGGCGCACCTAGATGGGGTCAGGACAGCAGAGATTCAGGAAGGAGGTCTCCTAGGGGGAAGGGGCCAGAGAGATGGAATATTAGCTCCGATGCAGGGAAAGGAGCAAGGAGAGGTAGATGGCAGATCTGATGGAGCATTTGGCAAGATGAGGGCCCACGCGGATATGAAACATAAAGAGGGACTTAACTCCGGAGAAAACCAAGTCACGCAAGGAAGGAGCTGCACCCTCGGGCCTCTCTTTGGCTCTGCCATGACTGGGTATGATGATGGCAACACCAGTTCTCTTGCCTGTTGGTGGAGGGTGGAGGGAACCCAGAGCTTCTGTCATAACAGGTCAATATGTAATATCTAAGACGGCTCAGTCACAGAATAGAGGCCCTCCCAGGTTTTATAGAAATATGGGAAAAAACATCCACAGAAACAAGTGAAAGAGTTAAAAACTGCCTTCTCTAGAGAGTGGGCAGGGGTGGGGAGGCTGGGCCAGGAGCTGCTGTATTTTATGATCAGCTTGTCAGTACCATTTGATTTCTAAACCGTCTTCATATACTGCTTTGACATTTTTAAATTAAAGATTTAAAAATTGAAGTTTATTAAATATCCTGCTAAAGAGAAATTTTCACAGCATTTTATTAAGGGGGAAAAGGTTGCAAAACATTGTGTATAAATGTTCTAGGTCTCAGGTGGGTGGTGGCTTCTAGGTCCTCATTACACTACCAGGCTTTACAACATGTATTTGCTATAAATGTTTACTAGATAGCTCTTTAAAGTGTAATAGGGAGTAATTATCTAAAATTATATAAAAGAAGGAAAACTGGAGACTTTGATTTCTTTTTGCTTTTATTTTCTTCTTTACTTTTCTGTCTTCTAAAATGTCCATCTTACTACTATGATTAATAATCATAATACAAACAAAATGCCTTACCCTAGCTAGATTGCTCTTGGTAACAGAGACCCCTTTGGGGGTGGTGAACATGTGTCCGCCAGCTGTTTTGGGGGTTCTGTCCATGATGAGTGTGAGCCTGGCCTCCGCATGGGGCCCAGCCAGCATGCCTGTTGCTTCACTGGCAGGCGACAGAGGCCTCCTGGGGTCTGGGGTGGGATGTCACGTCCTTGCGCTATGCCCCACAAATGGTCAGGACCAGTGGGACGGATGTGGCTACTGAAGCCTGCTTTTCTCTTCAGAACTTCTCTGGAGCATTTTAATTAGCGAGGGATTTATTGCTCCATTAATGCTACTTATCTTGGGAGCTAGGGGATCTTGCCAAATTGACTAGTGGCTACTCTTGTGAAATAACTCACTGAGAGCTTAGCTGGGTTTTGCTTTGTTTACCCATTTTCTTTTAGGCTATGATGGTTGGGTGATGATGGTGTTGGGGGCTTCAGAGGGTGACCCCAGAATTGATTGCAGTGAACCTTCCCATTGTCCCATTGTTGGTAGGGTCAGGTGTCTCTCGAGAGACTAGGCCGAATATTCTTTGTATGAGGGAAGTGCCCCTAGTGACCTAAGTCTTAGGCCAGTCATTCTAAGCCCAAGGACTCTTAGCTTTGGCTTCCAGGCTGAGGTGGTCATTGTTCCTGGCAGGCACCGGAATCGGGGGAAACTGAGTGACCTGGTGGCTGAGCACCTGGACCACTTACACTATCTCAATGACATCCTGATCATCAACTGTGAGTTCCTCAATGATGTGCTCACAGACCACCTGCTCAACAGGCTCTTCCTGCCCCTTTACGTGTACTCTCTGGAGAACCAGGACAAGGTGGGTTTGGCAGCCTGGCCCCGCTGCTCCTGTGGGCTGAAGGCCATCTTCTCAAGGGGGAAAAACAGTCCCCTTGAATAGGACTGAGCTTTGCAAAGACCAGGGCTTTGTGCCTGAGAGAGATGTGTCTCTAAGCACACTGGTTTTTCTTTCCTGCTGTTTCCTCAGAGAGAGGAGAATGAGGGTTGGGAGAGTGAGTGTGAATGTGAGTGTGAGTGTGTGTGTGTGTGTGTGTGTGTGTGTGTGTCTGTGTGTCTTTGAAGGCTGTGAAAGTGAATGAAAGAAGAATATTGACATTGGAAGGAGACAGGAAACCTCCATGAATTCAGGTTTTGGTTTCTGTGTACATTTCTCTTGGGGAGTTCTTATCCCAGGTAACTTTTCCTGATAGTTGCCAGAGCAAATTGATCTGGAGAAGCAAACATCCACAAAACTTGCCCAGAATGGACAGGAAGGGATGGTGTGCTCTTAGGAAAAGATCCCAGGGCAATGACTGTCCAGGTTAGGTTCAGATTCCCTTGAGTGGATTGCCCCGTTCAGATGCATATCCTGGGAGCCCCCTCCCTCTCAAGGATTCTGGCTCAGGGGGTCTGGAATGAAGCAGGACTCTGCGTCTTGAACCAGCACCCCAGATAATTCTGAGCTGATGGTTGTCGGATCCCCCATGAGAAATGCTGCTTCAGTGAGGAGAGGCTTTCCACCCAGGCCCTCCTAGGGTTTAGTTTCTGCAGGAGGCAAGAGGCCAGATAGAGCCAGCTGGTCACTCTGTAGAGGCTTCAGGCTTTGCAGATGCACCCCAAGGGGATATAACTTTCTTTTTTTGGAGATGGTACATACACATTCTTGCTAAAAATAAGTAAATAAAAGGAAGTTATAGCCCTAACTAGATCTACAAGAGGCAGATCAATCAGAGGGCAGAGAGAAACAAGGGAATTGGAGTTTTCAGACCTGGGTTCAAATTCTGTTTCTTTCCTTTCCTTACTCTGCAACCATGGGCAAGGCAGTTAACCCTCCTGGTCCTTACAGGGTTTGTGTGGGATGGAGCACAGTGGAGCTCCGCATGAATGAGGGGCCTTTCTGAGGCCGGAGTGACCCAACCTTTCTCTGCCCCCTGTTTTGAAAGCTCTTCCTGAGAACAGGCCTCCCGGGCCCTCTGCTGCTGGCTTCAGGCCCTCTGTGCCCCAGCTGGGGAAAATTAACATTCTTGGTAATTTAAGGAGCTAGTTCTTCTCTTGCGTTCAGTCTTTAATACATGGCTAATAGTGAAAGATTTCTCAGGTGGAAAAATAGTGGCCTTGCAAATGGTATTGAATGAGATTAGGTTTCGAATTTATTTTGCAGAGTGGACTTTTGATTAGCACTGGGAAAGAACAGCCTTGGGTTCCTGGAGGAAGTCAGCCCCTCCTTCAGACAGATGACTTTGGCTTCCTGTATTTTGTGCCACTCATGTGTGACCCAGACTTCTCTCTTTTTCCCCCCCTGAACCTTTACTAGGGAGGAGAGCGCCCGAAGATCAGCCTGCCGGTGTCTCTCTATCTCCTGTCACAGGTATGTTTCATCATTCGCCTGTGTCCCCACCATGTTTGGGAGTCCCTGGAGGGCTTCTGCCCTCCATAATTTTGTAGGCTGCATCACCCCGTCTTCTCTCTCAGGTGTTCCCCATCTTGAAATAAAATGAGGAAAGGAGAGGGGCATTCTATTTTCCAGACACTGAGCAGAGGTGTAAATGTCTTCTTCATGGTAGTAAATGGAAATTTAAAGAGAAATGAAAAATAAACCACATCTGGCACATATGTAGTTGTTTTTCACCATGGGGACTGAGGTTTCCAGAACAACTAAGGAGTTCTAAAGACCCTGGGAATGTGACCCGCATGGGTCTTATTCACAGCATTTTGAGATAAGTCCCAAACTGCCAGACCCAGTGTGTGCATACATGCAGCAACCTTGACTTAACAAATTTGCACTAATGAGGCTGTTTTGAAAAGGCTTTTGTTGTGGTTCTAGTTCCCAAATAACCTTCTGGAAGGTATCTTGTAGCAGCATCAGCTCCCAGATTTGTGTCTTGAGCCAATTTGTCTGCCTGCCCCCCTTAAACAAGTGTTTCCTTCTCATAATTATGTAATATTTACAAGAAGGGAAAAACTCCATGGTGACCCAGTTACATAACTTTACAAATATTTTTATTACAAGCAGTCCAGACTTTCAGGCCATCTCATTAGACTGTCAAGTAGTCAAACGTTTGACCAGAGCCCTGTCCCCACTTCTGCAGTGGCACAGGTATTTATTTGCTCTGCTGAGAGAACGTCCTCTGACTTGGTCCTTGGGCCCTTGTGAGTTTGAGGTGGGGCAGTCTCCTGCTGGCCTGGGAAGGCAGTTACCGTCCCAGCCTCTCTCCAGAGGCCACACTGATGGGGATCCACACGTGGCCTGCTGAGAGTTCGCATCCGGAGCCTTGTTCTGGGGGCTCTGTTTGCTTGGAGCTCTGCACTGCGCCGCCTCCTTCTGAATGCCCCTCTTTATTGTGCGGTGTTGCTCGGCACAAGCCCAGGCCTCTCCCGGCCCCTTTTTCCACCGCCTCATTACAAATCTGCCAGCATCTCCTGCTTGGGATTCTGGGAGTCTGGCAGGCCCTTGGCGGGCCAGGTGCTCAGCTGCAGGAATCCCGTGGAGACCCTCTCAGGGCCCTTCAGCTGTCGGGGCGCTGCACAGAGAGGGGTCTTCCGCGGGGCCCAAGGCCGGCCATGCCTTTTCTCTAAAAGCTCCCCATCTCCTGTTTTCTTAGTGACAGACCAGCAGCTCCAGCTCCTCATCACTTGTTTCCTTGTCTCACCAAAAGCATAGCTTGTAATTTGGCTCCTCAGCTTGAGTCATAAAGCCCCTCCTCCCCTGCACTTTGAATTAGCTTTATCATCATGTTGCCTAAACGAGTGAAAACCCCAGTCAGGCATAAATCCCGTGTCCTTAATCTCTACATCAAAGCATCCTTACAAATTATTTTACAAGCACTATTACAAAACCAAGAAAATTCACCTTTACAATGTTCATTTAGCATGGCGAAGAATGCCGTCCTGGAATTGAACCTCCGCTCACCATGTGAGCATGGCGCCCGCAGACCGGCCTGGCTTTTCCAGTCTGGCCTGTGCACGCTTCCCCGGACCACGCAGTGACTGGCTTTCGCTCTCGCCCCCTTCTCTGCCTCCAGAGCCCAGGAGGGAACGAGCACCATGTGCGTCCATAGGCAGCGCTTGGTTGGTCTTTGTCCAGCGGGCCTTCGTAGGTCCTCACTGAGAGTTTGTGGACTGAATAAAAGAATGCAGAAATGACCGGTTATGGCCACGTTCATACAAGTGCACAGTCGATCTCTGTGGAATGAATGAACTCAGCTCTTGGGGTTTGGTTTTGTGGCTGGATAAGCTGTGGCAGTAATCTGGCCATGACGAAGGTGAGGCAAAGCAGCTGCGGGAGCCCCAGCCCCGGGTATGGATCGGCTCATTCGCTCCGCCGTGTAGCCCGTGATAGTCAGTATCTTCCGTGTTCTATAAACAGACAGGGTTGTTTTTTTAGATAGGTACTGCTTTTGGCTATTCTGCCTGTACCTTTCTTTAAGTTGAATTGTATTTATTATTTTGAACAATATATTCACCCTATTCGCACAGTATGAAGTGACAAGTAGGGAAAAGTCTCCCTTTACCCCTGTGCCCCAGGCACCCAGTCCCATTCCCTAGAGGCAGCCAGCATTTCTTTTTTGTTTTTTAACAGTGTTTATTTTTTTGAAAATTTTTTTGGTTGGAAACCTCCAACAGGTTTTGGTTGGAAACCTCTTTTCTACTTTTGTTCAGTGTCCTGGCTTCTGTCCCCAGAGGGGACAACTATAGTTACAGAGTTTTCCTGTGTCTTTCCAGAGAGATTCTCTGCCAGGGGTTTTCAATTGGAGGTGATTTCGCCCCCTGGGAACGTTTGGCAATGCCTGAACATTTTTTGTTGTCATGACTGGGGAGGTGGTGCCACTGGCATCTAGCAGCCAGAGCTGCCGCCAAATAACCTACAGCCCACAGGACACCACCCCACAACAAAGAATCATGGCCCGACAGTAGTGCCAAGATGTAGAAACCCTGTTCCATACACATACAAGCAAATATAAATGTGCACCAACAGCCTTTTTATATGCAAATAGTAGATACTTCCCACCCTGATACACCCCGGTTGTCTTTACCTTTTAAAACAAAGTAGCAAGTGTGTGGGAGCCAGCTTTGCAAGGCAGTTTTGACTACCCAGATTCCTAAAGTTGTTCAGGGGCATGGGGCAAAAGGGCAGGTTGGCAGGGCCATCCTAGACAGCCCAGTACCTTCTGATTTTGCATCCTGGCATGCCTCTGGCTTGTGTGGCTTTTCTTCCCACAATACCCACACCTCCAAGGCTGCCATGGAATCCTGGTGTGCTGAACCCACCGCAGGGGTCAGAGTGCATTCCAGCAATGGAACCTCTGTAGAGCCAAGCCCTTGATTGGAACAAGACTCGCTGGCCCCTTCTTCCCATAGAACTGAATGAAGTGTTGGGCTGGTGCCTTCCAGCCTTATCGTAATCGAATTTGACACTGAAATGCCTGTGGAGAGGAAGGAGTGTGCTGGTTTGGCTGCTCCTTTCCCACGTTGCTCCACTTCAGCCAGATTTGGCTTCAGCCAGCCATGAGGGATGGTCTTGCTTTAATGCATTTCCTTCCGCTGAAGAGCAGCCAGCCAAGTAGGCAGCAGTCTGAATGAAGGAGGCGCCGACCTGGGAAGGAGTCAAGATAGTTCCCGGTTTCTCCTAAGTGTGACCTGCTCTTTGGATTTTGTGCTGTAGGAATTGCTGCATAATACAGACCTTCTGTAGTCCAGCCTGGTTGTTTCAGATCGAGGAAGAAAGAGGTTGAAAGAGTGCATGCTTTAATGCAAATGCCGTTTCTTCTTTCTCATCAGGTCTTCCTAATTATACATCATGCACCCCTGGTGAACTCATTAGCTGAAGTCATTCTGAATGGCGATCTGTCTGAGATGTACGCTAAGACTGAACAGGATGTTCAGAGAAGTTGTGTAAGTCATTAATTAGTGTTGGGACTGTTTCTCCACATTGATAAGAAGCTGTTGCTCATTTTGTTAATGTGTGTGTTTGTCTAAAACCAGAAACCAGCATTCTGCTTATATAGCAGTGATGATGCATAAACTGATCCAGGATTTAGGGAACCTAATCAGAGTCTTGAAATTCATACTCAGTAAAATCTGGGGTTTGGGTATGGGTGAATTTAATTGATCATATGTTATTGAACATGGAATTATACCACTCTAGGCTTCAGTTATGTATCCGTGAGACACTGTTTTTGGGAGAGAATAAAAGAATACCTTATCTAAGGCACAGGTATCTAGAGGCAGGACAGGGGACATCTATGAATGCTACAAGCCCTGTGAGAGAGTGGTAGGGAGTGGTGGGGACTGTGGCAAAGTAGAGAGCACATGCGTCCTTTGTGAGTAGCTACTTTTTTACTCTAGCCTGCATTTCTGCAAGAATATTGAGGCAGTATTGCCAGCTTTTCTCATGTTTCCGGAGAAGCTGGAAATCTGTGTTTTGATGTGAATACTCTCAAGTTTTAAATTACCACCTAACTGAAGCCTAAACAAAGCATACTTGTGGCTTGTGGATGTTTGTGCCCTTTGTGCTCTGCTAAAGGAAAACACCTGAGACCAGTGTTATGACTTATCCTGAGACTTTCCTAGCTTGGCTTTGCCTTCCCATTCCCATCCTACTCATATGTACAGAGCTCTGGGCTACCTTATTTTTGGTCCAGCTTGCTTTTCCCCAGTGCGCCCTGTGTTCCTGCCTCTGTCCCTATGCCCTTAAATACCCACTGCCTGGAAGGCCCTTGCTCCTGTGATCTCTGTCAGAGATCTTCCCTGCTTAAGCTGCTGTGGCAGGCATCTTGTCTGTCATTGTATCCGCTGCAGCATGGGCTTGGCATACACATTCGAGAGGAGCACAGTGTTTTATAAACAATGGCTGTTTCGTGAGGACTCTGTCCCTGCATCCAGGCTCTCAGGCAACAGGCACATAGGTACAAGGGCTGGGCTTGCCCCTGGGCAGTTGACTCTGTTGCCGTGTCTGAGTGAGTGGGTGGAGTATAATCCTGTAGCATGAAAGGCCAGAACTGCATGGAGTACAATTACGAGAGTCCCCTGCCCTTCTGGTTTTTCTGGTGTACAGTGGCCTGGCCAAGACATTTTGTTCGCTAAGGGAGCATTAGAGCCTCTGAAAAGGTTCGCAGAAACTTCTGTCCTGGTTGGTGATGGCATTAGTTCAGCTGAATTGAGTGGGGCCTTTTAATAGCCTCTGTCTGGCCTATCCCTTCTTTGATTCATTCAGCAAGATTTATTAAGCCCTTTCTTTGCATCAGGCATCTTGTTAGTTGTGGGGATATTCAAAATCCTAAATAGTCTCTGTCCTGTTGGAGCTTTACAGTCCAATAGGAGAGACATGTTGATCAAATATACAAACAATGTATTATCTCAAGTCTTGTAAGTGCTCCAAAGGGAAGGAGTAGTGTTTGGTGAGAGAATGTAACCTAGACATGACAGGGGTTACAGGTATTGAGCAGGAAAGACACCCCTCATGGTCCAGGCCATGACAACATATAGTCCAGAGAATGTGGAGCCGACTTGGTGTTTATGGACCTGGAGATACTTCTTTGCAACTTTCTTAAACTTGGTTTTGCTGAATGAATGCAAGTCAGCAGAATCAGCAGGGCCTCCCAGAGCTGCTGAGGACCCCACCAGCCCTAGGGTCACCTGGGGCCCATCGTTTTACCCCATCTGGAAAGCAGATCGAGTCCCTTGGAGGGCTTGGAGTGAGCACGGGAAGAAAATATGATTAAACTGCCCATCAGGTGCCTGACAGGTTACAGTCTGTTTGGTTTGGCAGCTTCACAGGGTTTAAAAGGCAATTTTTTAAATTGCCTACTTTAACATTAAGGATGTTTCACATGAAAATCCAGATTTCAGAATTGTCTTGAAAAGTCAGAAGATCTGGTCCTCAGTGAGCACATTCTCCTACAGGAGCTTCTCAGCGGCTACCCCATGGGATGAGGCATGTGCATACCTTCAGATCTGCCCGTCCCCACCCAGCCTGCTAACTCCTGCTGCATGTATGTTAGTAACAAAGTGCGATGTACTGGGCCCCTTTGGAAGTTCTGCTGTCGCATGATCCCGAGACCCCACGAGAGATGCCAAGGCTTTGTCACAGAATGTCTTGCCACACAACACTCACTGCTGAAGTTAGACTTGGTATTCCCACAGGTGAACCCAGGCATCTTTGGGACACTGGGGTTTACAAGGTTTTTTTTCCCATTGAAATTGATTTGCATGTAGTTATAAAAGAAGAATATGGAGAGATCATGTGCTCTTTCCCTAGTTTTCCCCCAGTGTGACTTCTTGCAAAACTAGGACAGTATCACAGGCAGGAGATTGACAGTGATGTGTGGGGTTTGCAAGTTGAGCAAAAGCAAATTGGGGAAAGCCTACAGCTTAGGGTACCCACTTGAGTTGGACCATCTGATCAGAGGGAGCATTTAAGAGATCTGCTTCCTGATGGCTTCTTCTTGGGATGAAATTCCTGCCTCCACCGTGACAGACACATGACCTGAACTGAAAATGAGATTCTTTTGAGCGTGGAAGGAACTGCCAGTGCAAGTGAAAGTGTCAGCTTTCTGCTTCCGGGTGTTGCCTTTCACTGGGCGCGTGATTGAAGTCTGTCTTGTTCTCATGACTGCAGTTGAAATTTGGGAAGAGGGGAGGTGAGTCTCATTTATGGCTTCTT